TTCTGCAAGATCTTCGGGGAGTTCGCGAGACCGCATTGGGAATACGCATAAAAGCCAGAAGACCATGGGCGGTTAAAGGTTGCAATTATTAGTTCCAATAAATTCTGCTGTTAATGCTTGTTTTAAATTCATCCCCGGGAAATATTGTTTCAAGTTCTGAAAGAGTCCAGAGGAGGAACGCGAAAAATGGTTAGAGGTCAGAGTCCCTTTCCTTATGTAACCCATGTAACAAATCTGAGCCTCTTCTCTTCGGGTTATAGGAAACTGTGCGGGGATCTCTTATAAGCATTTGGCGTTGCGACGGGATTGGACTGCGACCTGGTCTTTGGGAACGTTTGAATTTTTTGTTTTTTCTTACACCCGAGGTAACCCGTTAAAACTGCGCATTTAACAGGCAAGACTTGGAATGCAGATGTTCCCCTTCTCTGTCAGTGGGACCAAAACATCCAATGCACTCCCCGCAGATGTTCTGATGTCACCAGAGATGGAAAGATTAAGGAGAAACCTGAAAATACTTGTTTTTCGAAATGAGCAAAGGCGATGAGAAATCGAGTTTCACCCTTGAGACACACGCCCAGCTTGTCATAATATTACGAGCCCATTTGAACGGTTTCGGTCTAAATGCTTTCCCTGTGCACCGTCCCCAATTTTACGTTATAAAAATGATACTCAATTTCTCATGCCCATTCCCCTGAGTAAACTGGAATCATCAGTGAAAAGAGGTTGGGTGGAATCTCGTCTGATCCTGGGGAATTCAATCAGGTCAGTGCCTCTAATTCTCTTCTGATACGATAATCTGAAAAGCGTATATTGCTTATGCTTGGAGCCGGTAGTTTTTCTGCGGAGTGGGGCGGTGAGAAATTTTGCCTCGTTGTGTAGACCGGTCGAAAATTTTTTGAAAAATATACAGTCTCATTCCTGCTTTCAGCAATTTTGTCGTCATTGGTAGGATTTATTGAGGGGGGTTTGATGCCTGTTTATTTCAGTTTATTAAGATGATGAAGCTTTCGCCCTTGAACGACCTATTAAAATCAAAATTGCAATGGAATCAATTATTACACCAATAATTGTGGAAATTCGAAAGTTATCTCTATGTGTGAGCCAGGCGCAAACTGCCGCCACTAATACAGTCGTGACTATGTGTGCAGTCGATTCGCAGCAAGTGAGGGCTTAGTTTGCATTTAAATGATGCAACAGTTTTGGAAAGGACCAGCGCGTCAAGGAGTCTGTTATACGCTCCAGCGACCCTCTGGGAGAACACGTGCTGTCGGACGTCTCTATGATCCAACTTATTTTTCTTGCACTTGTATTTCTCCCGGAGTAGCTGCAGAGTGTTTTCGGATTCTGTGTTGCTTTTTGCGGGAGATTCCTTTCGGATTTTCGGCGCGTTTTAATAATCATTCTCCCCAGTTTGTCGCTCTGTGTTTTGTAATTGTGGAAATACTCGACACGTCCCGTGACGTAGTACTTTCTCCGCATTTTATGCTCCCTGTTAATTTCTTTCTCTAGGCTGCTGTCTAGCCACCCAGGTCACTTGTTCTGCCTCACGATATTCAGTGGGTAGTGATCGTTGGCGAGCTGCAGAAGGACACTCTTCAATAGCTCCCAATCTTCGTCGGAATTACCCGTCAACATTGGGCTCAATTCGAGACCGGATAAACCTGCCCTCACCTGATTGAATTCGCTTTACCAAAGCTTGCATCTTTTTGGTCTGGAGAATGCGAAAGGGAGAATAACGAGCGCATGAATTTGACCCGAATAGAGCAATTTGCTAGGTTTCAATCTCAGTAGTTTAGCCCTAACTCGGGTATGTGACATGTGCTGAAGTTGGCGGTAATAATCATGGATGATTCATGTATGGTGGGGTGACACTTCCATTGTGATTCGTCTTTCCTGCTGAAATGGACCACATGTTAGATGCACTGGATCAACAAAGGGACTACGTAGGATCCCGGCAGGCGTTATTAGATAGGGGCAGCCATAACAAAATGCCAACATTTGGGACGTGACAGCAGGCCCAGCTACCGTCTGACGTCGCACCCATTTGGACAGCAGCTGCTGTCTCCAATATTTGCTGTTGTTTGCAACTCCTGGTCTAGCTTTTGATGTAGACCAGGGGATGTGATGGTATGCCTAGGTGCAGGTTTGCGCCGTGTCAGACATATGTCTGCGGACTCTCTTGACTCCGGTCTTCTTGGTTTGATCATGACGCCAGGCCCAGGTGGGGGAGGAGAGAGAGCGATGGATGCAGCCCAAGTCTATATTATCCCTTTAAATAAATTCGCGCGCAAGTCACTGTCCCTGGTCTCACCCTGCTGTGGAGCACACGACGGACATCGTCGAGATCGATGATGAAGCTGACTGCACTTGTTATCAAATATAGACACACATAAGTGTTATTGACAAAATTGCAGACGCGGCAACGTGCCGTGATAGCTCAGTAGGGAGAGCGTTAGACTGAAGATCTAAATGTCCCCGGTTCGATCCCGGGTCGCGGCAGTCTGCGTTTTGCCACGACATGCCGTTTCGCCCAAATTAGGATCGG